CTGGAGCGCCACACGGAAGCTCCGGGCGCGGGGCGTCGCCCGCCTGGGCGAGGTGGCCTGCACATCGCCTCGCCCCGGCCGGCCCAGACCTCCCGGTCCAGTTGAGGCCCGCCCCGCCGCGCCCGTGCAGACGCATCCTCTGTCGGGGCGGGGCGGCGGCGCGCGCTCTTGCCCTCACAACCGCATCAGCGGTGAGATAACTCGCGATAACTATGCCCGCTCCAGTTTCAGTGCGAGTCTGGAGGAGCCGCGTGCCGTCAGGTTTTTTGGGGTCCTTCCCATAGAACACTCTCAATTTACACCAAAAACATATAATAATAACAATGAAACAACTCACGTTGTTGGAATGAGGAGGCTGCGGCGGCTCATTGTCTGAGCGATGACGTAGCCTAAAATCTAAATTTAGCTCTGATCCTTAAGGATTCTTTAGTGACCAGAAATATTTTCTCCTGAATGTCTGTGAAATAATTGAAAAACTGCGTACACCCACCTGGTTCGACGACGTTTTTGCACTTTGGTTTTAAGGTGGAAGTCCTGGAACGTTTTCGAACAATTTCAAGGGCTTTCAACCTTGTCGGGTATCGGTCTTAGATGGGCACGCCGAGCGACAAACTTGACGTCCAAGTCAACTTTCGCATGTCTGCGGCACCCCGACTTCGCCGGGTCCTAGTGGTGCTGCCCAGTGGCCCGGTGCTGCCCCTCCCGCCGCCCGGCCGCCCGGGCAGGGCAAGCTCGCGGGCGGCGATGTGTGAGGGGCGGCCTCCCTCACGGCGCGAGCGAGGATGCGAGGATCGCAAAGAAATTCTCTGCCAGCTGCTGCTGTCAAGCTGTCCGAGTCCTTGCAAACAATGCGATTGCAGTGCATACAAATAGTTTGCAAGCCTGCGGTTGTGAGCTATTTGGTATTACAATCTGCTTAATTGTTTGCAATACGAAACTATTCTTTGCAAGCATTTTGCATTGAGCTGCTCGTTCGCTCACTCTGTCAGAAATCTCCTCAGAGGGATCTTTCCAGCCCCTCCAGAGAGGGCACCGTTGCAGGGGAAGTGGGAATGTACAAACATTCGAGTAGCTCCTAGGTATACATTTCAATTTATTAAATTAATGACAGTTAGAACCTCGATGTCTGTCGCATCTATCTTCAAGTATAAGGGTACATGAATGGGGTGGCGAGCTTTTTCACTTTACATTAAATTACTGCAGTAAGTGCGCTTTTTACATTTAAAAAAATTGTTACAGCTTGTAAATTTTTTCCTGACTATTTACCGACTTTGACTTGTGTACCGGGTGATTCAGAGAAGACGCACCTGCCTTCTTTGAATCGCCCGGTACAACTCTTTTTTGTCTTAGGCTCCCACTTGTGTTTTTTGCCTTTTGTTTTCTTTTTTACGTAGAAGCGACTCACTGATTCTAGTTGTACTCCTCGAGTGCCCCGCGCCGTCGTGCTCCCTGTGTCGACCGGTTATCACGCTCACACAATAACAGTTACTGGTGCGATAGACGTCGCGGTTCATCTGTCAACTACAATAATTTGCTTAAACATAGGTAGAAGTTGTAAACACACAAACACACACACACACACACAAAAACAAAAACGTGACTTAAAGGAACTAATCTCGGATCTCCTGGAATCTCGGAGGGTTTGCAGGGCTTGAGCGTGAACAGGACGGCAACTAAGCTGCCGATCTAATGCATCACCAAAACATAAGTAAACAGGATGTTTTGACAGTTTGCAAGGAAAAGCAGTAGGGGGAGTCAGCGGAGTAAATACAACAAATAGTTTGATTGGGTTTCAATTTATCTGACCTAACCTAAATAAGGGGCGCAATGATCCAATTTCTGCAATACATAGTTTTTAATATATTTTAAATAACATTTTTCTGATAATCCTAAGTTTTGTGATCAAATAAAACAATAATGTTGATGAACAAGCATTGTGGTACAGCATTAAATACGGTCAGAAGTAAACTGGGTTGTTAGGAGTACAAAAATATATATCGTAGGTTGAAACTTGTCGTTTTTAAGAGTGACGCATTGCCGAATAAACCATCGTAAAACTTAACTGAATATAAAGGTATGCACAGATTCTCAAGACAGATGGAGAAAATTGTAAATGTGGCTGCAGAAATGGCTTTTTTGTGACATTACAAGAATCGGAACGTGACACACATGACTAGCTCTGGTTTTTAAATACCTGAATACCCGATGAACAAGTCTCAAGATAAAATCTTGTATTAAATCGTGATGTTTTTTTTTGTTTTTTTGTTTTTTTATTGACCGACTCGCCTCGATCGTGTTTTTTTCTCTTTTTTTCGAAAACAGTTTTCCCTGGGATTTTGATTGCTTTTAGTTGCGAATAGACAGTCATTCTTGTCAGTTGTACTAGTTCAGCGACTTTCCTTTTATCGTTAAG